GATTCGAACCCGCCACCTTAGGTGTACGTGGCTGGCGCCTTAGCCGGTTGAGCTATAGGCGCCGAGCCAGAAATATGGTCTTTATATCACCCTCAGATGCTAGGTTGGTGCTTGAATGTTTGTAAAACAGTAAGAACAGTGCTTAGACCATTGTAAGGGCTTCCTAAAGTATGTTCAATAATTAAGTGTGTGTTGACAATTTCACACCTAAACTCTGGGTTTTTTCAGGACGGCAACAGCTCCTTAACTGGCACACCCACCTCTGTTTAAAACCAGAAGTCTGAGCCCCAGATCTCTCTGTTTAAAAGTCTCCCAGGGGTCTCAGCAGCCTCCAGGCTACAATAGAAATGCCTCAACTCTAAGATCCAGGGCTTTCACACAGGGCTGCTGGGGTCATGCTGGGGATCATTATTTAACGACCCCAGTTTATTTTTTAATAAACAAATATAAATAAAAACAAAAAAGCAAAGGGCATTTTTAATGTTATATTGAGCGAATTAAAGCATGAACAACCCTCCCTACCCCAACAAGCCCAACAAACCAAAATCATGCTGTTCACAAGACAAAAGCAACTCCAAGAGTTCTCAGGCTATTACTTCAGGCAGCACAACAGGTGGAACAGCATGGCGAGGCGACGAGAGATTCGATACTGGTAGCGTCACATCTGAAGCCCCCCACAAAGGCAGCCACAGACAAAGGAAGATGCTCCTGGGGCAGCCTGGACTCCCGGACAGCCATCCCCTACAGTACGACCTCGGCCCCTAGGTTAGCTCCTCCTTCAACCGGACGGCCCCGCCCCCGTAACAGCATTCAATGAGGGACCACCCAGGCGGTGGGGACAACTTCCTCCGCTCGCTGTCCGGGTTCCAGCCGCCTCCCGGCCACCTTCTCGGCTCCGCCGCCTCCATCCATACAGTTACGAAGCTCGGCCCCACTCCGGCCGGCCACGCCTGACCCAGCTCGGCCTAGCCAACCCCTAGTTGTACTCGGGCCCTCTGCCTCCTTGGGAACCGTTATTCCGACCGCAGGGCCCAGTGGGAGGCATCGCTACGAAGCGGAACCCGGTAACCACGTCAGTAGGGAGCCCGCAAGGGGGCGCGCGTGCGCGCAGCCACGAGTCTGGGGTCCCGCCGGCGGGGGTGGAGGCTCACTCCCCGCGCCACGAAGACTGGCCAATGGGAGCGCGCGCTGCAAGGCTCAGCTGTCCACACCGCGGCGCTGAAAACTCGGGCGGGTGAACCGTGGGGTTCCGGCGCGCACCAGCGGCCGGGCTCCAGGAGCACGCGAGGCCGGCACGCGCAATCGCGTGGACACTGGGCGCGCGCTTGACATCGGCTGCCCGGCCGGCGCGCGGAGTCGCCAGGCCAACCATGGCCCCAGAGCCGCTGGCGACCGAGACCCCGGCTCAGGGGTCCTCTCCACGTTACTTCACCTGGGAAGAGGTGGCGCAGCGCTCTGGGCGCGAGGAGCGGTGGCTAGTCATCGACCGGAAGGTGTACAACATCAGCGAGTTCACCCGCCGGCACCCAGGGGGTTCCCGGGTCATTAGCCACTACGCCGGGCAGGATGCCACGGTGAGCGCTACCAAGCGAGAGCACGGGAGAGAGCGGGGCCGGGTGGCAGTGGTCAGAGGCTGCTTGCGTGGGAGCTGAAAAGTTTAGCACCCAGAGCCGAGCAACTAATTCGGAGAAAAGCCGGGAGGCGCCCGAGCATGCCGGTTGCTCGAGGTTGGTTGTCCTGTGGTCACCGGATACAAGGGCCGGAGAAGGGCTCTGAAAATTGGAGTCTGGGGAGTGGGGATGGAGGCCAACAACATGTACACACAGACAAAGGACTGAGCTGCCCATCCGTGCATTACGTTTGTATTACGAGTCTGTGGTCTGCAGGCGTGGGGTGAACCCAGAGCTGGGATGCTAGCGGGGCGGAGGTGGTGGGAAGAGGGAATTAACGTCTAGTGTCGAAGCTCAGACCGGGTGTGCAGCTGTGTGTGGAACGAGCACGCTGAGCTCCACTCGCTAGCAAGAGAGGGAACCCATCTTGAGGATAGGGCGGAAACGGGGAAAATTTGGGGAGCCGGCTGTTCTGGGAACCTCTGCGTCCTGTGAAGACTGGAGGAGACAGAAGGGACAGCAGGCAACGGAGAGGCAAGCAGTAGCTGGCACATTCGGGGAAATGGGAACAGCATCAGCGTACCCTTAGTGAGGACCCTCGGAATTGTCCTCGAGTCCTGCCGGGTCTCCATCTATTCGGCAGAGAGCTGTTAGCACTCTAGGACGCTAGACCCCTTGCGGGTCCCGTTCCTCCTTCCCTTGGGCCTCATTCGGGGTCAGCGCGCTCCCCAGAGTAGATCCTGCCACTTATCTTTCGAGACCAAGAGTCTCGAGCTAAGGCACCTGGTGCTTCCCTACCGAGTTGTAGTACCAGGAAACGGGGTCTTCCCTTGTGACGTGAAAATTGGTACGTTCCTTGGAGGCCAGGATCACGTCGCCTCCCCTTGCATCCCTCTTTGATCCGGTGCCTTGCTGCATGACCCCCTCCGCAGCTTCCACCCACTGCCCTGGGGTCTCAGGGTGTGCCTCGGGCCACCAAATGTTCCATAACATTCCAGCAGAGCTTAGACGCTGCAGGGCGAGGACGCGCTCCGCCCTCTGACGCTGCCGGCCTAAGGGGCGAGACCAGAGTCTGCGCGAGTCCACCAAAGTGGTCACTCGGGAGACCAGGCCACCGACAAAGGCACAGGCTTGGGCTGGCGCATGCGCAGACGGAGCAGGCACCGCCGCTGGGGCTTCCCGCAGTGTGATTTGGGGCCGGGGATTCGGCAGCCAAAACCAGGATTGGTCCGGATGTGTGGTGCCACCGGCCGCTGGCTCCGCCCCTGCTCCCCTCCCTCCCCCGCCCTTCTTGCGGTGTCTCCGCGCCTTGGCCCGCCAGACCTTAGAACTGTGAATCTTGTTGAGGAGGATCCCACCTTGCATAACCCCAATTAGCCATCCTGCACAGGGAGTGTTCAGAGTGCTAGAGGAAATATGGAACCCTACCGGGAACAGCCGCGAAAATGAGGGAGGAGGATTACAAGAGTTCCCCACTTAGGACCTTGGATGTCTCCCTCTGCAATTTAAGGAGACGACTAGCCCTGAGAGAGAAGGGATTTGTCAAAAAAGTTCCACAAGAAAAGACTGAGACGTCTCATAACCCTGCACATCCCTTATGTTCCTCACCTATACCTAAATTCTTGGGCTGTGCCCAGAGGGCGCCGGCCCCATATACCACAGGTGGTGGGTTCAAACACGGCCTCAGCCAAAAACTGTCCCCAGAGATACCAAGCAAAAGGCCAGTCTAGGCAGGTGTTTGGGGTAGTCTTCACATCCAAGTCTTCCTCAGCATGGTACCCTTCTAACTAGGACACAGATGCTGGGTGGCCTTGGGCTGTGGACTCCTGGGCAAGGTTTGAGCATCCTCAAAGGCCAGCTGGCCTGAGGAAGGTGGTATCTGCTTCATCTTGGCTTCAGCCTTCTTGCTGGCAAGTGGATAGCCTTTGGTGTAAACCCTGGGGGGGCTGGCTTCCTCACCTTTCTGTCTTTCTCACGCAGGACCCATTTGTGGCATTTCACATCAACAAGAGCCTTGTGAGGAAGTATATGAACTCGCTCCTGATTGGAGAACTATCCCCAGAGCAGCCCAGCTTTGAGCCCACCAAGAACGTGAGACCCTATTTGCTCTTGGGAGTCTCTTGGTTGTTGAAGAGGGGGAGGGGGAGAAGGAAAGCCCAGATGGGATCACAAGTAATCACAGTCAGTAGTTCTTGGGAGTCTTAATGTCCCAGTTTCTCCTGCACAGCCCAAGGGAGCAGGGCTTGGAAAACTATGGCTCTCCCAAGGCTGCTACTGCTATCATCATCAATCATCATCAACATGAGACCTATTTATTGAGCACTATGTGCCAAGCAGAAACTCATAAATTCTCACACATTTACAGATGAGAAAACTGAGGCTCAGAGTTTCAGCAACATGATCAAGGATCACACAGTTAGTTAATGGCAGAGCAAGGAGGGACATAAGTCAACTTAACTCTTAGACAAATCTTCCTCCTGTCACCCTTATTGTTGTGACATCTCTACCTAGGACTCTGAAACTTCCCATGGCCACCTTAACAGAAGGTCATTGAGCCTGAGAGCCCTGTTCTGCAGCATTGTTGGTTTGCAGCTGGGAAGAATAACAGGTAGTTCCTTTCCCTCCCAGAAAGAATTGACTGATGAGTTCCGGGAGCTGCGGGCCACGGTGGAGCGGATGGGGCTCATGAAGGCCAACCACGTGTTCTTCCTGCTGTACCTGCTGCACATCCTGCTGATGGATGTCACTGCCTGGCTCACACTTTGGGTCTTTGGGACGTCCTTCGTGCCTTTCCTCCTCTGTGCAGTGTTGCTCAGTGCAGTGCAGGTAAGAGCCTGTGGCTTGTCAGCCATCCTCAGCATCCCAGGGGAAAGCTCTTTGTCCCCTTCAGAAGACCAAGGAGCCCTTCCCTTTGAGGGAGAGTTAGTGCAGGAGGAGACGTATGTTCCATGTCCGAGGCTTTTATCTGTTCATCAGCCATGTGTGCGTCTTCATTTATCTCACTGCCTCTCCAGCTGCTTTTCCCAGGGTTCCTTTCTCCTGTGGAATTTATTCTCTGAAACTTCAAGTTCAGGTTCTGCCACAGCCTAAGTATGCCAAGAACCAAGATCCTGGTTTGGCTTTGTTCCCTCTCTACCATTGACATTGCCCAACATGTTAATAATGACAGACACACTGGGCAAGCCTTCTGCTCATCTCTGATCCTTTTTGCATTCTGGACATCAATCCATCATAAGTCATGAACTTCAGAGTTGGGGAGACTGAAGGACAGAGAAGAGATAGTGATTTAACCCAACTCACATGTGAGTCAGTGGCAGAGCCAGAATTAGGACCCATATTTCCTGACTGCTGATGGACATCACAGGCCTTGGTGGATTTAGGAGGAAGGGAGAGGCGGTAGGAAGCACTAAGGTCAGTGAGAGGGATGCTGGGCTGGTAGCTGTTCTCAGTGCTGACTTTTCTCACCCAGGCCCAGGCTGGCTGGCTGCAGCATGACTTTGGGCACCTGTCAGTCTTCAGCACCTCCACATGGAACCATCTGCTACATCATTTTGTGATTGGCCACCTGAAGGTCAGTGGGATGGATAGGGGCTCTCTGGAAACTCTAGGCAATAAAGGGCTGGCTAGTGGGGGAGTCATTAGGCTTTCATACTCATGTCTCCACTTTTCTGTAGGGGGCCCCTGCCAGTTGGTGGAACCATTTGCACTTCCAGCACCATGCCAAGCCCAACTGCTTCCGCAAAGACCCAGACATCAACATGCATCCCTTCTTCTTTGCCTTGGGGAAGATTCTCTCTGTGGAGGTGAGTAGAGGTATCAGAGGAAAGATCTTTGGGAATGGAAAATAGCCAGCACAGAGGGGTTTAGGGGAAATGGGGAATGGAAAACAGCCAGCACAGAAGGCTTTGGGGGAAATGCTCACAATGTTGTCAGTGTGGGTAAGACATCAAGGGCTAGGCTTGCTGGATCCTTTGCCATTTGAAAATTCTGGGGATCAACAGGCAGTAGAGCAGGGCTGCCGAGAACACCCATCACCATCCATTTGAGTCGGTTCAGTCAACAAATATTTATTGTGGCTCGGCGCCTATAGCTCAACCGGCTAAGGCGCCAGCCACGTACACCTAAGGTGGCGGGTTCGAATCCCCAGCCCGGACCCGCCAAACAACAATGACGGCTGCAACCAAAAAATAGCCGGGCGTTGTGGCAGGCACCTGTGGTCCCAGCTACTTGGGAGGCGGAGGCAGGAGACTCGCTTGAGCCCAGGAGTTGGAGGTTGCTGCAGGCAGGAGACTCGCTTGAGCCCAGGAGCTGGAGGTTGCTGTGAGCTGTAATGCCATGGCACTCTGCCCAGGGGGACAGCTTGAGGCTCTGTCTCAAAAAAAAAAAAACAAATATTTATTGTATTAAAAAGCACCACATACTGCAAAGGATCCAAAGGATGACTAGGAGATTACTGTGAGAGCCCCTGCTCATCCAAGGGGCTGATGAGGGCACCCCCTGGTGCTGCTTTCCCTGCCCCAGGCAATCATCCCCTGCTCATGGTATTGCCTTTGACTCCTACTTGTCAATTACCCAGTACCCTGGACTGACATCAAGAACACAGATAGGACTATCTCACTCTTGGTTGACACTCAATGCCTGGAACAGTCACTTACCAAGGGCTTCCCACCCTCCTGATCCCAGCCTGACATCAGGGTGGTCAGCATTGGGTTGAGTCATCCTCTGAAGTTGTGAGCAGAAATTATAATGTAGTGCTGAAGTAAGAAGCCTAGAAGTAGAGATCTGGCGAGCTTTCAGTGAGCATTAAGCAATAGAAGGCTCTGAAAGGCCAGCAGAGTTCTTTGAAAAGTTAATTGAAAACCCTGCCTCTCAAGGCTCTGGGCTGCAGTCAAACTTCTGCCAGGCCTCCTTCCCCTACTCTTTGATATTTCTGCTTGCCAGGAATTAAACTCTTGTTAAATGCATTTCAGTTCTAGGCATGAGTTCAAGGTAGTTTGGCTCTCCTCTCCCCTCTGACCATGAGAACTCTGTGGAAAGTCCTTGGCAGCACTGGCTGTCATGGCATGAGCAGCTCACAGCTTGAGTGAGGCTCATGCCCCACCTGTTCATTATGTTCATGAGACTGAGGGTAGGCTATCTGTTAGTGAGTACCTAGACTGAGACTGAGGGTAGGCTACCTATTAGTGAGGTACCTAGCTGAGGGTGAGTACCTAGACTGAGACTGAGGGTAGGCTACCTGTTAGTGAGGTACCTAGACTGTCAGGTGCTTGGGGCTTGCTTCAGTCCCTCAGTGTGCAGCTCAACTGGCTATTGATGCCTGTGCTGCCCCCATGACATCCATCCCAGTGCTTCCCAGCTCTCCTGGAGGACAAGGAGGTATAGATTCTAAGTAGAGTCTTTTTGACAGAGGGTCTAAGCACAATGGGACAAAGTTATTAGGATCATAATGGCATTTGGTTACCATTCAAGGAGCCAACAGTGGGACGGGGTTCCTTTTCATAATAGTTCCAAGATAGGAAGCCAGGCTTCTGTCCCACCCACCCCACTGAACAAGGTGTTTCTCATCCCCGCTCAAGTTAGTGTTGACCAGGATGGGGTAATTCTCACCACCACGTGCAGCTCACCAGCAGCCCTTATTCACACAGCCTCCAAAGCTATCCCAAACCTACTGATTTCACTAGCTCCACTGCTATATGTCCCAAAGCCTGGTCCATTTCTGGTCTGGATTAGCTCCAGCCTCCTCCCTGGGACTCTGCCTGCCCCCTATAATTCTCTTCACCTTCAGCCAGAGTGAGCTTTTTAAAGTACAAAGCAGATCAGACGACACCCATTGAAAACCTTCCAGCAACTTCATTGCCAAACTCATGGGCATGGTACCTGTGGCTCAGTGAGTAGGGCGCTGGCCCTATATACCGAGGGTGGTGAGTTCAAACCTGGCCCTGGCCAAACTGCAACAAAATATAGCCGGGCGTTGTGGTGGACTCCTATAGTTCCAGCCACTCAGGAGGCTAAGGCAGGAGAATTGCCTAAGCTCAGGAGTTGGAGGTTGCTGTGAGCTGTGACTCCATGGCACCCTACCAAGGGCAATAAAGTGAGACTCTGTGTCAAAAAAAAAAAGCCAAACTCATAACTGTGGCCTTACCAGGGATTTCTAGAGCCCTACGTGATCTGGCCCCTCTCTGGTTTCCTCATTCTCCCATTGCTTACTGACCCTGGAGCATCTGGGAGCCTCTGCACTGGCTACTCCTCTGTTTTAAATGTTTATCAACTGAATTTTCACATTGCTGGCCCTTCTCATTCAAGTCTCAGTTCAGATATCAGCACCTGAGGGAGGCCATATCTGACCACACTTGCTACCTCCCTCACTTTCTGTCCTATTTTCCTTTTGAAGATAGAGTCTCATTTTGTTGCCCTCAGTAGAATGTTGTGATGTCATGGCTCACAGCAACCTCAGACTCAAGTGATCCTCTTCCCTCAACCTCCCAAGTAGCTGGGACTACAAGTGCCCACCACAACACCTGGCTTTTTTTTTTTTTAAGAGACCCTAAGAACTCTGGCTCAGGCTGGTCTCGAACTCCTGAGCTCAAGCAATCACCCACCTCAGCTTCCCAGAGTGCTGGGTTACAGGCATGAGCCACAAGGCCCCAACTATTTTCTTATTTTTAAGTGTAAACTACCTTGAGCTCTGTTTACAAATTTATCGTGTTTCTTCTCCTTAGATTGTAGGCTCCATGAGGGTAGGAACTTTGGATTGTTCACCTCTCTACCATTAGCACCTGGAACAAACAGTGCCAGGCACATAGTAGGTGCTCAAATACTTGTTGAATCAATCTGTTAATGTGGAAAAATGCTTCATCTAGCTGAAATGACTCACAAAGAATTAGCTTTCCATAAATGACCTGTGCACACAGTGGGTGGACACATTGAAGGAAGAGCTCGCATTCTGCTTTGGGGTTAAGTGCTCCTCTTGTGCCCTTGTGCTTGTCTGGTTGCCTATACTAACTGGGGCCATGAAGTGACAGTAGAGCTTTGCTATCATGTTCCTGTGAGCCCATACTAGGGGTCTGGATGGACTGCTTGTCCCGGTGGTCCCAGCCTGTCTCTTCAGCAACTAAACTTACAAAATACCCATCACCTGCTGGGGAAAACTTTGCCAGACCCTTCAGATTGCCAAATTATTTTTGGTATCCTTTCCAAAAATATTTGCAAAATTTCACTTAGCTTTCCAGAGATTGTTATAAAGCTCATATTGAAGTAAAGAGACCAAAAGATTGTGATGCAGAGAATTGAGAGCTGGATATTGAGGGAATCCTTAATCAGTATCGGGATAGATTATGGTTGTCCATGGACAGTCTAATGTCAAAAAATACCAGATGGGAGAAGGGAAGGGGAAAGAGCAGTGGAAGTTGAAAAGCTTATGACGAAGGTGTCTCTGGATGAACACAAAGGAGTCCTGAGGACCTATACGCTTTGCACTGTGCGTGTCCCTCACGTAAGCATGGGCCTGGCATACTTGCAGAGCACAGCCCAGTGCTTCTTGCTACACGTGCTGGAGATAAGGCTGGGCCATAGCAGCAGTAAGCTGCAGCCCTGGAATAGGCCTAAGCTTCTCAGTAGGAAAAAACCAAGGTTATAGGGAAAGGGAAATGGGTAATTGGTCTATGGATGCTGATTTGTGTTTGCCTTTCTTCACAGCTTGGGAAACAGAAGAAAAAGTACATGCCATACAACCATCAGCACAAATATTTCTTCCTGAGTAAGTGTTCTTATCTGTGTTGGAAGGGGGTGCTGAAGTGGTATGAGGAGGAAATGGCTCTCCAAAAGGTGGTGGTATTTTAAGGAAGGAGCCTGAAGGAAGCACCACAACCTCAACCCCTATTACTGCATGGAAGGAGTTTTCCTTTTCAGCTTGAGCAAAGGCAACATTTAGGCTAATGTTTGCCCATTTGGATGAAGCACAAACCTCATCCTAAACCTTGCAAATAAAGACTTGAGCCAAGGTAACCTGGAGGAGCCCAGTTCAACTCCCAGGAAAACAAAGGTACAGATAGCTCTGGGAGAATGAAGGGGCTATCAGAACTGAGAAGATGACATTTCCACGGTTGTCTTAAGCACATTCTGAAGACTACTGGATATTCCCTGCTTTGCAAGCCTGCTCCATAATGCTTAAGGTTTGAGCTTTAAAACTCTCTGACAATTTCAAGTTTTTAAAGGAAAGGAGGGAAGGATTCTACTGACCCATTTTAATTTAAAAGAATTCCTCCTAACTGCCTATTACCAACTATCCCTATTAGAGAAAGGTAGATGGGGCAGAGGAATGAAGGAGACACTACTGGAAGAAAGAATTTTAGAATCCATGGCAGCTCAAGATGGAGGAGCTGTGGCGGGCACTATAAAGCATGGATGAGGTTATAGGCAGTATCAGGTGCTACAGAGAAGGGAGATAGAAGAGGAAACAGGACAGCACAGGAGATAGAAGCCACCTCTTCCTTCCTACAGCTGACCTCCAGGGCTTGAGGTTGGGGTTGCACAAGCCCACCTCTCTGGTCCGTGGAAGTGAGCTGCTTAGCCTGGGAAGGAACAGCACAGCTCCACCTTACACACATGCTGTCTTGCTCCTGCCCTTCAGCTGCGTGATGGAGCATCCAGGGACACAGGGCAGGTGACTGCAGGGACAGGCCTAGTGCCAGTAGGAAGGCCCCTGGCAGGGCCAGGACTATGGCCAAGGCAATGCAGGGAGCATTGGCAGTGCCCTATTAAAGACATGGGGGTACAGCAAATCCCACACGTGGGGCTTGAGTTCTCCAGCTCTTTGTTCCATTGGAAAAGAGCACCACTCCCACTCCCTTACCCTCAGGGCATGTTCTTGGGCGATTTCACCTTGCCTGGACTTGCGTTTGTGCCCACTTTCGTTGCCTGCTGACGCCAGTGGATTGAGGAGTGCTCAAGGAGCTGGAAGGGTGTCAGAGGATGGCAGAGGGGGCAGCCCTGGCTGGAGACTATCTTTCCAGCACCAACCAGCCTTTTCCTGACCCTCCCACTGCTCACGCTCTCTCCCTGTCTCCGTTTCTTCCTTAGTTGGGCCCCCTGCCTTGCTGCCTCTCTACTTCCAGTGGTATATTTTCTATTTTGTTATCCAGCGGAAGAAGTGGGTGGTGAGTATCTGTTGCCCAAATGCCCCACATTCTGTCACCACTACCCAGAGTGGGACAAAACAGGTTCTCCAGGGGAAATAGGCTCCAGGCCTAATTTATAGCAAAATAATGCAACCAGGTATAGATTTTCCCAATCTCTTAAGTGAGATGAAGTGATCTGGGCTTAGCAGGCAACCTCTCAAAGCCTGATTTCATGCAGCCAGCATCTCCTGAGGTTCTCATGACACAAAGGACTGGGGAAGGTGAGTGGGAGATAGTACCTATTCTTAGGAAACTTCTGATAAAACAGAATATGGTTGTTACCAGAATAGAGATACAGGCAAAAGGGTCTAGGAATTTCAGAAGGGGCCTAACTGCATTTAGCCTTGTAAAGTCACCTTTCAGGCCGGTCTTAAGGATGGGCAATTGATAGGCAGAGGTGGGGCTGTTGGAAGAGGAACTCTGAGCAGAGAAGCTAGGAAGTGAGGGGTGAGTTTGGTCACTGGACATATCATAGAAGACCTAGGTGTCAGGAGGAATATGGTACTTGGTTCAGTGTGCAGGAAAGTGATTGAAGTTTTGATCAGGCACTGGCATGGACTGAGGCCTATGGCTGGAAGAGTCATCTGGTGGTGTGCTGAAGGATTCAGATCGATTGGGAGCTGAAGACAGGGAGACCCTGTAGGCCTTGCTATTTGTGAAGGTGACAGACAAGGAGGGTTGGGAGGTGCTACTAGGAATGGAGGAAAGGAGCCATGGCACTAGGTCCTATAGGATTAGGCCACTGAGAGGAAAAGCTGAAGATGACCAACTACCCAGGAGAAAGCTTCACCATGTGGGCAAAGAAACAGGTGAAGTGAGAGGAAGAGGAGAAGTTGTGTTGTGGCCAAAACACCCTGTGCCTTGCTCACTGTAGGACTTGGCCTGGATGATCACCTTTTACCTACGCATCTTCCTCACTTACATGCCGCTGTTGGGGCTGAAAGGCTTCCTGGGCCTCTTCTTCATGGTCAGGTAGCATGTGATGGGGGACCAGGGGTTGGTGAAGGAAATCATGGATGTTGGGGGCTGGCCAGTCTTCCCTAGAGGCTGTGCTGGGGCTTTGGGTAGTAGGGGTACTTCAGGAGTTGGTTCAGGAAGGTCGGCAGGCTAGAGGGGAAGTGAAAACTGGGCTCTGCTCTGTTTTGGTCTGTTTGCCTCATCTAACAGGTTCCTGGAAAGCAACTGGTTTGTGTGGGTGACACAGATGAACCACATCCCCATGCACATTGATCATGACCAGAACAAGGACTGGGTCTCTACCCAGGTAAGGGACGGTCACTTAATATACTTAGGCAACACAACTAATGAGAAGAGTGGTCAGGGAATAGCACAAGCAAAAAAAAAAAAAAAAAAAAGGAAAGGTCCCTAACAGCATTTCCTCCTTAGCTGAGGCTTCTCTCTTGCCACTCTTTGAAGGGAGTGAGCAGGATGGTCCCATACCCCATCCTATGCCCTCCCCTGACCTTTTCCTCCAGCTCCAGGCAACATGCAACGTCCACAGGTCTGCCTTCAATGACTGGTTCAGTGGACACCTCAACTTCCAGATTGAGCACCAGTGAGTAGGGGAAGCTGGGGAAGGTGTAATGTGGGGGCAGGTGGAAGCAGAGCAGGAGCCACTGACTCTTCCGTGTTCTCCCCAAAGTCTTTTCCCCACAATGCCCCGACACAATTACCACAAAGTGGCTCCCCTGGTGCAGTCCCTGTGTGCCAAGCATGGCATAGAGTACCAGTCCAAGTCCCTGCTCTCAGCCTTCGCCGACATTGTCTAGTGAGTATCTGAGGCCAAGACTGTGGCTGGTAGGGAGGGAAGTGGGCAGGGCAATGGGAATGATGGTGATGCATGGGGCAGGTGGGGAGTGAGAGGGTTTCCCCAGTGGAGGTCACCATGGCAAAGGCAATGAGGGTGCGCTACTGGTCTTGTGGCCAGGTCAAGTCTGTGCCCTCAGTGCCACAGCCCAAGCTAGCTTCTCAGAAGCAAAGGGGAGGAAAGCTTCCAAATGGATGAGGGCCTTAAGTCACAGGGCTCAGCATCCATCTGTCTGTGAGAAGCTCACTGCTCTACCTGTCTCCTTCGCTGTCTTTCCATTTTGTCATTGTAGCTCACTGAAGGAGTCAGGGCAGCTCTGGTTGGATGCCTATCTTCACCAATAACAGCAGCACCCCCTGCCCCATGTGGAAGAAGAGGACTCTGGAGCCAAAACAGCAGAGCTTGAGGGACAATACCACTACAATTCTAATATTCAGAGGGGGTTGGGGGCATAAAGGCTCTGATTCCAGCCCCTTCCTTTTATTCTCTAGGAATAGATCTAAGACCCAAAAAGGGATGAGGGGGACATACAAGTCCCCCAGAGGGAAGGAAGAAGCTATTGGGGCAGGGAAGACAGTTTTCTTGTTTGCTTTTTCTGGTTTGGCAGATGGTGGCGGCTGGTGAGCAAAGGGAACTAGTTCCATATTAGAAGCAGGGGACCTACTGAGCCCAGAGTCAGGAAGGTTTAGCACTAAACTCATATAAAGGGCAAACTCACCTCACTGGTCCACTTCTCCACCCTCACTTACAAACCTCAGAGGGAAGGAACCTTTTGAGCAAGATAAAGAAAGGAAGCATTAACACTTCGAATTCTGAGGCTTGGCATAACTCAATGCCAGGGAGCTCAGTTCACTGCACAGGGCTAGGGAGAAGCTATTTCCCAATTTCAGAAGGAGGCAGGGCAAAGAACCTAAAGGATCATGGCACCAACTGATTTTGGTCTGTTTCACCCAGGATCTAGGGAACACTTAAGTCCTAGCTCTTGCCAGAACAGATAGTAGAGAGAGTTGTCTGCCATTTCGATTCACCTCTTCTTTTCACCTCTTTAACCACCTCCCAAGGAACAGAACACTTCCCAGGACTGAGTCTACTTCCTGCTCAACAGCACTTGAGCAGATGTGACAACTTAATCTTTTCTCCTCCTCAGAAACAAATGCAGTATCCAGTGGATTCCATTTGTTTCCCAACCTGCAATTCTAAGTTTAATAAAAACAGCAGTTAGTGAGCCCAACTCATCAAATTGGGAGATACTAATTATCAGTCACAAGGAAAAACACAAGTTTGTTATGAGGGTAAGGGCTGTAAGCTGAAACTTTTCTATAAACTTATGTTACAGCATTATTATTGAGCAGGAGCAGTGGGTTAAATATAATCACTTTATAGTTCTAAGAAACAGAAAGATTAAAAGTATAGTAACGTTTGTGATCATTATTGCTGTAGCTAAGTGTCTTACTTAGTCCACTGTTGCTCAAGTGTCTTATTCTGGAGATCAGATAGGAATTTAGGATAACCCTTTGTAAAGCATATTGTGTGATACTAAAATATAATTCTTTAATTTGGTTTTTAAAAGATAAAAAGAGTTGAACCCATCTCTGCAAAGAGAGAACATAGGAATATGCCCAGGAATCTTGCCTTCACTCTTGGGACTTAATGCCTTCTCCAGCCCAGAGGCCTTCCTTCAGTTCAGGCAAAGGGGATTATTTCTTTGCCTCTTGAATAGCATCTACTCTTAGACATACTGATCACTTTGGACACTGGGAGGAGGGCACTTCACACTAGAACAGTGGTTCTAAACCTTCCTGATGCCACCATGTATTTTCATTGTTACCAAGGGGTCATGACACTAGGAGGTACAGGCAGAATAGCAGTCAAGATGAAGGTCCTAAGGCACCTTGAGATAGGATTAGAGGCACCACCTGTGGAGAGGCTGTCAGGATTCCTTAGAAGTTTGTAAAAACCAAGATGCAGAGGAAGGAGTTCAGATCTTTTCCATTTGGGCAGATTTTGCCTGGCTGGAGAATTTGGTTTAAAATATTCTGGGTCAAAAAGCCAGAAGCATAATTGAAGAGTTCTACTTTCATTGGTGTCCTTATTCAGCATTGGTGCCGTTCCTTTCTTGAGGTTTAGGTGTGGTGTCACCAGCCTGTTAAGTGAACTTGCTTTGGGCCTAGGCCACTGAATCTGAACAAACATCAGCAAGATATGGAGCCAAGAGTAGGTCCCCTAAGCACCTGAACCACTATGGCCTTCTCTCCTCAGCCTATAGCAATATGGTCTCTTATGGCCACAAAGAGACCCATTAGTAACAAAAGGTTCAGAGGTTACAGTGGTGAAAGGAATGATCTCATATCCACTGACAGATGAGATAATTAGGCCCAGAGAGGAACCTATGATCACAGATCATGGCAGGTTTAACATTTAAACTTGGCGTTTTTACAACTCTAAGTTCTATCTTTGATACCTTTGTCTTTTTACTACCTGGCCAGAGGCATTTCCTTTAATCAGGCCAAATATCAGCATCTTTTTGTGTAGGTCAATTTTGTTACATCCTGTTGAAGTAAAACTGAAAAGGAAAAGTTAATTTTGACCAAATGGAGGCTGTTCATTTGTAACCCATGATGCCCATCTTGGTGCCCTAGCTCCACGTTACTGCTTTCTGAATATAATCACCACAGACCCCTTTATATAAGTCCACTGGACAGAAGAAGGAAGATAGATCAGGACCTTCCGGAAAACACCAAGACAAGGGTGGCAAGAGCAAGTCCTTCCCACCAATATATGTTCAAATGTAAGGTTGCCTTGATGACTCACCAGATTTCATGAGCACAACTTCCTACTTGGGTGGCAATGACCTCACCTTTTGGATAATTTTTCCATTTTGAATCATTTTCTCTTTTCAACTCATTTCTAGTATCTAAATAGTGCCCAAGAATCCTATTTGCCTAAATCTTCCTCTGTAAGCCCAGTGCCTCAGAGCTAGAATACAGAACAATTCCTCTGAAATCTCCATCCTAACAGCTCTCCTGAGCAAAAACAGGATATTTAGAGGCGTAAATGACTTTCCCTGCAGTGTGACCATACAAAGTTAATGACCAAGCAACTCAGCTTCAAAAATCAAATCATGACATGCCTGAATACTCCAGGGTATAAGCTCTTAATTATAATAGGTAGGGGCATTGAGGCAGTACTCAAATCTTACCATCACTAAAGCCCTATCACCATTTCTGCAGGTTTAGAATTAACTACTTGAATCAGAAAATGGAGCTTAAACAAGTTCCATGGCTTGGTTTAATCTAGGAAAATGTTTCATTTGTCAACAACTGCTAAAGTAGGGCAGTGAATGAAACTAAGTTCTTTTCCCTCAGAATAGAACTTTTTGTATCCACCAGTGATTTTCAAGAGTGCCCTAATCATGAGCTCACTGGTGGGAGACAGTTTCCCATTCTTGCTTCAAGCAGAGGCACTCTTAAACCTGAGATTTCACCTTAAAAATGAATTCACTTCATTAAAAGATTTGAAAACCACTGGTCTTTAGTCTTCTGTTTAATCTGTGAAGACACTGTCAACTTAAATTACGTTAAGTGTCCTCATTAACTTGAAATGGCAGTGATGAGAATGCTAAAATTCACAAAGTCAAAGGGGCTAGCTCCCCAACAAGCTTTATCGGGATTAAAAAACTTGGCAAAGTTCAAAAACATTCCATTTCCATAAGAAACAGCAACCTGAATTTGATGTTATAAAAGGAACAAGAAAGTGGTTTCCAAAGGACAAACTGTTTGGATGTTATGAGGTAGCTAATCTGAATTGTGAGGCTTTCTCAAAGGAACTGCTTACCTCCCAGTTAGGTGGAAGACTTGAAATCCATTCAATTAAAACTAGTTTCCCAGAGGCTTCCTCCTCTAAATGGCTTTAGTACTGGCACAGCAGCTGTGGCCATTTTAGGGGGCATAGCGCCACTTTGTGGCCACTCTCAGACCACCTCTTGTTAATAGGGCGTTATTCAAGCAGGGGTTTTTTTGTGTGAAAGGGTCTCCCTCTGTTGCCCAAGCTGAGTGCAGTGGGTCCATACTGCTTTGAGCTCAAGTGATTCTCCTGCCTCAGCCTCCTGAGCAGTGAGGACTACAGGTGCACATCACCACGCCTGGCTAATTTTTAATTTTTTTTTGTAGAGACATGCTCTATTTATTTTGCCCAGGCCTGTCTTAAACTCCTGCCACAAGTAATCCTCTGGCCTTAGTTTTCCACACTTGTTGGGATTACAGGCACAAGCCAAGGCACTCAGCCTCCAGCATCTTACTTAATTAAAAAGAGAACACTGCATTCTGCCTGGAGCCTGGGGCACTTGAGATATTTTCAAATGCTCTCAAAGCACGGGACACTTTGGTTACTTTCATAAGTTTATTGGCTTTTTTCTCTTCATAACTTGAAAACAAAAACGGCACATGAAAACCAGTGTATTATCCCTAAGTTTCAACTCAGGTGATTGCCTCAGAAAGGCCAAAACATCACAATCTCACTCCTCTGAATAACCAACTATACAGCCTCAAACTACATAGCAAGTTCAAGTTTCTGTCCACACCAAGATATATCCAATAATTAAATCCTTGCTGCCACCGCTGAGGGCTCTGGCTCTCTGCCTGTCGCATCTCAGCACTTTTCCCACATGTTAAGACGGGGTCTTCCTGATGTTTCTCTGGAGTGTCAACGCTGAACTGGAGAGAAAAGCGCAGTCTGGATCCACAATCATCTCTCACTGGTCCCAGCTAAGCCAGCCATGAAATCATTTCCATAAAGTCTTTTGTCTCCACTATGTATCTCCCTCTCCCTTCTCTAAGACTTGTTGCTATCAATCTCAGTAACAATGGATTCAGTGTCCACTAAGCTGCCTAAGAAGTGGTTTATGTTTGAACCTGACATACCTTCCTGAGCTAAAAGAGAAAACAAAGTACTTCTGTGGCCTCCCTGCCATTAAGAACAAGTGAAAAAGGGAAAAGCATACTGAGAAGGGTAGCATTAGTAAAGCAATGGACTCTCCTCCCCACCCCCCCACCCCCCCACCCCCGGGGAGGTTTCTCTAGCTCTAGCTCTTGAGGGTACAAGACAAATATTCTGAGGTCAAGGAGGTATTAACATAATGGGGGAGGAGCACATTTATTTCCCCCTTTTGAACTTCCCTGCTGTCCCTGTCTTTGCCTTCTTCTTAGTGGATCCCTTGGGTTCTGGCTCCTTGCGCTTAGCGGAAGAGAGCGAGCCAGTCACCTTGAAGAAATCATCTAGGCGGCCCTGGGTGCTGCCTTGTCGGCTCTTGCTCAGCCGCTTGACCCCACTGCGGATTCGCTCCTCAGAGAACTGCTTTTCACCACACATGAACTTGACCAGCTCTTCTTCATTTGGCTCGCTCCACTTCAGCTCCACAGATTCTGGGTCCAGCACTTCAGGTTCCAAGAAGAGCTGATGGGCCTCCTTGTGGAGCCAATTTTCTGGTATGGGGTACTTGTTGGGGTCAAGCCGCCTCACAATCTCCTCAATGCTCTTGTGCTTCTGGATGAGGTCCACAGCCCGCTTGGGCCCAATGCCCCGGATACTCTCACAGTAGTCACTGCCCAGCAGGATGCACAGATCCACAAACTGCTCCTGGTTCAGGCCCAGCTCCTGCAGAATCCGGTTCAGATGGAATTCCTGGATGGGTAGTTTCTTGGCCTCACTGGCAGTCAGGTGTCGCATTAGCACAGGGCTGCCAAAGGTGAGGCAGTCCATGTCCTCGGTGGCCGCAGCATAGACTTTGCCAGCCTTCACCAGGGCAGCACAGCTGGCCTCTGCCTCACTGGGTGCGTCAAGGTATGGTATGCCCATGAGGCTCAACAGATGTTTGCATTCATCGTTATGCTGCTTAGTGACCTTCACTAGCCGCTTGGTGAATTTTTCCACTTCTTCCTCAGCCCCAGCAGCCTGAGCCTGCTGCAGCTGCTTCTCTGCCTCAGCCCGCCGCTCACTGCGTTTGGCCAGTTCACCTGACTTGAGCTGTGGCGGCTTGCCATCAAAGATATACACTGGCTTGATGCCGTTCTCCATCATGCGGATGGTACGGTAGAACATGCCCATCAGGTGGCTAGTGGTCTCACCCTCCTCGTTCTGTAGTACCTCCCCACCCTGGCGAACAGCAATCAGGAACTGATAAATGCTCATGGAGGCATCAATAGCCACCTTGCGTCCAAAGTAGCTCTTGATGTCATTCTCCCGGATGGCACTGGGGGCCACATCAGCAATTAGTTTGGCCAGGCCTTGAATCCCCATGGTAATACCAGAGGAGGAATAGCTAAAAGAGAAAGGCAAATAAGAGAAAGAGGAACTTTAAGGATACAAAAGGAGCAAGGGTTATAATGGTGCTATCTCACCAACTTCATTCTTTAGCTAATTAAATTTGGCAAAATAAAGAAGACACAAAGTTAGCACTGCAGGAGATGGAAGGATGAACAAGACAAGGTCCCCATTCTGGCTGGGCTCAGTGGCTCATGCCTGTAATCCTAGCACTCTGGGAAGCCAAGGCAGGTGGACTGCTTGAGCTCACGAGTTCAAGACTGGCCTAAGGGGTTGGTGCCTGTGGCTCAAGGAGTAGGGCACCGGCCTCATATGCCAGAAGTGGCAGGTTCAAGCCCAGCCCCGGCCAAAAACTGCAAAAACAAACAAAAAAAAAAACCAGCCTAAGCAAAAAGCGAGACCCCATCTCTACTAAAAATAGAAAAACTGAGGCAAGAGGATTGCTTAGCCCAAGAGTAGGTTTCTGTGAAATATGATGCCACAGCACTCTACCCAGAGCAACAGCTTGAGACTCTGTTTCAAAAAAAAAAAAAAAAAAGACAAGGTCCCCATTCTCAAAACCTTTACAGTCTAGCAGGAGAATTTGCTCATTTAATACTAAGGCTTATTGTGTATTAGGAACCGACCTGGGTGCTTAGAGGAATAAGACACTGCCAATACTCTAAGGCAGAGGCATTATCTGTTATACAAACAGAACTACAACATGATGTCCGCATCAAGGACCAGGGAAGGCCAGAGGAAATGCCTGGCTCAGCTTGAGGAACCCAGGGATCACAATGGCAGAATTGAGCTTTAAAAGGCAGGCAAATACCAGTTAAACAAATATAAAATATATGATTTGTTCTGTGTCTCTGGAGAACTCTGACTGATAAAGGGTATCCTTGAAGAAGGGCTGGCAAATAAGAGGCAAAGTGGAATTAATGTAGCTTTCTCAAATGCTGCTCTAATCTCTCTTCAGCACCCCCTCAGCACATAAGAGTTTCTACTTTTACTGAAAACACCATGGCTCCTACCCTACCCCAGGTCCTGATTTAGGAACCTGGCATGCTATAGTCCAGGTGTCCTCAAACTAGGGCCCGCCAGCCACATGTGGCCCACCAGTGTTTTTGCTGCCACTGCCTGTCCTTCTTAGCAGCCGACTCATCCCAGGGCCTGCAGTCCGGCCCTCCAACGGTCTGAGGGACAGTGAACTGGCCCCCTGTTTAAAAAGTTTGAGGACCCCTGCAAGTCACTTAGTCCAGTATGGTACTTCTGTGGTTCAGGCCTGTCATCAACTCTTTCCTAAGGCAATGTTTCCAGACCACCTCACTATGTTTGTCACTTCTGACTAAAGTCTGCACTTTTGTTCACTTAATATTTTCTTTAAAAAAAAAAAAAACAAAAACTAAAGTTGGAAAAGAGAACTCCTCTCAGGTAATATCTGTGTTACATCAGTTACATTTTAATACATGTTAAATGTATAACTATTAAAAGGGTACTTTTGGGGTGCAGTTTAAAGTCATCTTGTACTCTCTGGCCATAGGCGTCCAACAATCTAAGAAGTATTTTACCAGGCCTTTTAATTGTTCCCACTCTTCCTTCGCATAGTTCTTTCTGAAGCATAAGACTCTTGTACTCCTCCTGCCATACACTCACCCTTCCTTCAAGAAGCATATAATTTTAGTCCCCCTGTGAATGGGAGTGGCAAAAGCACTGGCCTTGAATCTAGAGGCCAGCATTTACCACCTGTGCGGCATTCCTACATCAGTGAACTTTAGTTTACTCATCCTACTGGCCTTGCAGGATGACTGCCCGGGTTAACTGAGACAACAGCTGTAAATCTCTATTATGCCTACACAACACCAGGTATTTTGTAAATGTCACCCACCCAGAACCCATTCAATCGGTTGCTTCATCCCTCAAGCCAACTGCTTTACCAGGATATGTACTGAAATGACCATTCATTGTGATCTGTTTATGCTCTTGTAGCATCCAAGAAAGGACGGCAGGATAGGGGCCTACGCGAGTAAAATTTCAGAAATGTTTCTCGTCCAGAGTCTTAGTAAAAATACATCCCGACCTCATAAGGTAAAAGTTACTAACGTCTTTCTACAACTGAAGAAAAAGGCGCGGAGGGTACTCAACTGGCCCAAGTCTCACAGCGGAAAAGTGGCAGGACCGCCTACTGCGAATCCCGCGCACGGCAGACCCAGGCTTCCTCCAGCAGCCAGCGAAGAGTGGACCTCGTTGCTCTAGGAGGGGTTTCCCATGGGGCCTTACCTGCCCTTTAGGGCACGACACCTCGGAGCCCTCCCCTTGGCCTAGCGTTCCCCAGGACAATCCCAAACTCCAATCCCTTCTCACTCCGGCCGCCGCTCACCTCTCACTCCGCCGCCTTCCAAAGCCCGCGCTCCCATCACGTGACCCACCCGCCGCGCACGGCCTCCCGGGAGTGTAGTGCAGGTCCCTCCCCCTTGGACGTCTGCTCTCATCGTAAAAGGTCCCTCCAGGGAGAACCAACACTCTCAGAGGCCCTACCCTACCGTTATCCTCCTCCTGCCCCTACTCCACCACATCAGACCCCCGCAGGTCCCAGGTCCCGCTACACACGAAATCTCAGGACTACAATTCCCACAGTGCCTCTCGCGCGAGGCACTTCCTCTTCCGGTTGCACAAGGCGCCCACTCCGGTCGACGTGTTCTTCCGGTGGCGGAGTGGCGGCTTACCCTGTGCGGGGCAAAATGGTGAGAACGATAAGGGGAGTTCTGGACAGAGTTGCGAAGACCGCTCGGGGCCTGACCGACCTCGCGTTTCTCTCAGACGAGGACATCAGAGGGCTGGAAGTTCCCGGAACCTCCAGCTTGGGCTGAGGGATGAGGAAAGGAAACCCCCTGCGTCTACTTCTTAGGCTGAGGGCTTGATCTCAGGCTGGGCTTAGACTCGCGACTTCTAAAGATTAGGGGCGTGGGTGTATTTTGAATACCTTCAAGCTTGCGATCTCTGTTACTTGTGGTCTGTTGTCTCTATTTGGAAAGTTCTTCCCCCTGCCGAACTTCTACCCATCTTGTAAGGTCCTGGGTAATTGTTATTTCTTGGTCATGCACTTACAGCTTTTCAGGCACTTGGCCAATCCCTTCTGGGAGTGCCCACAACCTCTGTAAAGATATCTGGCCACGTTTCACGGACTTCTTTGTTTTCTGCCACGCCTCCTAGTGACCACCGTCTGACGTGCATCTAGCTCTGGGATGAAGTCTATTCATCTTTGTATTCCTAATGCCACACAGGGGGCCTGTAATTGGAGGCTCAATAAATAGCAGTGATTGTCTTTATCATTTTGGGGGGGAGGGGTACATAATTGTTTACTGAATTGAACTCCAGTGTCTCTTAGAACAATGGGGTCAGTTTGCTTCTCTAGGGTTGTTATGTTCTGGATTTTAGAAGCATTGGCTGATGGGTGACAATGAAGTTAACATTTGTACAGAGCATTACGTTTACGGCCCTGGTTCATAGGCATTATCTCATAATCTTCCCTACAACCTCCGGAAGGAAACAAACAACCTATTAAGCGATTACATTGTGCTGAGCACTAAACTAGATGCTTTCACGTTCGTCATCTTTCTTACATTGTAGGTCAGCCCTATGAAATAGATAACATCATAACTGCTTTCCTGAGAGTCATATTATTAAGTAGACTCAGAATTTTAACTGATTTTTTTTTTTTTTTTTGGCACGTTTTGGCCGGAGCTGGGTTTGAACCCACCACCTCCGGCATATGGGGCCAGTGCCCTACTCCTTTGAGCCACAGGCACCGCCCATTAACTGGTATTTTTTGCTTGTAGATCCTGTAGATCCTGATATTCCATAATAGTGTAGTGGGAAGAATATTGAATTAGAAGTTGAGAGCTGGGGCTCGGTGCCTATAGC